ATCATCTGCAACTGCACGACGCCCAGTACTGAAACCAATCCAATTGGCCTGGTGGTCCTTGTCGAGTCCAGCGGCATTGTTGGCCATCGTCGGCGCATTGCCGATCGCCTGCCGCTCCCCCTCGACGCCGGGGAAGAGCAACGGCTGGCCCGCAGCACCCGCCTGGCCTCAGAGTTCAGCCGCCGCACCGAGCTGCTCAGTTTGAAGTTTGGCGACGAGTCCTGGTATCTGTCCAACAACATGTCCTACGACAACGGCGTCCATGTGCAGTCGTGCGGCCACCACGTGCATCTGAGCTGCCTGGAGGCGTACCTCAAGACGTTGTACACCACCCAGCGGCAGCCGGTACAGGACCGCGGCGAGTTCTATTGCCCGGTGTGTCGGCAGCTGTCCAACTCGGTGCTGCCCCTCAGTCCACAACTGGACCGGCCCACGCATCTGGTCAGGTCGGGCAATCAGCCGTTCGAGCAGCTGGTCGCCGATCTCTCGGACCTGATCAAGGAGAATGAAACGATACCGGTAAGAAAGGTTGGGAGTGCTTCTCATTCTATCATCTATTACCCATCATATATATATGTGTACATTGTCTCATCCGCACAGCCACCGACAAAACTGACGGAGGCCATGGGCCATGCCATGGAGGTGATGACCAACATTTCGCAGCGAAAGGTGAAGTGCGCCTCCATCACGTTCCGCAAGCTGTTCATCTTCGTGACGTCGATAGCGCGCACCAATCTGGAGGCGGAGATCATCCAACGCGGCGGATCACTGTGCACATCGAATGCCACGCGCTATAAGCCGAAGAGGGACTGCATTGTGCCGCTTCTGCATGTGCTATCGGTGCATGTGCGGGTCCTGGTCGAGTGGCCACTGTGGAGCAGCTGGGCCTCGCTTGCGGGACTACCCGTGAGCGATGCGGAGCCGCTGCCGGCCCATTGCCAGGAGCTGATACCTAGTCTGCTAGCGGATCCCATTGCACTGCTCCTGAAGTTCATTCTTTTGGCACCGCTGCACTTGGACCAGGGCAAGTATTGCAGGGAACAAATTGCACCGATGACGGGCGCTCATCTCATCTATTGTTTACCAATCTCTATTCCCAACAGACTACTTCACCTGCATGGTGAAGGTGATGTACAATTTGTTGTACTACCAAATTGTCGTCCAGCTGTGCGTCACCCTGACGGATCTCGAGTGCGAAAACATTCTGACACTATACGGCAGCTCTGGGAGCACTAGCACTACCAGCACCAACACCAGCGCCAGCGGCAGCGCCAACGCCAACGCCGGCAGCCAGCCGACGGAGACGGCAACACCGGCAACAGCGGAAACAGCGGAAACAGCGGAAACAGCGGAAACTGCGGAAACTGCAGCCGTTGTCAGCTCCAGCGCCTCTGCATCTGCCTCCGCCTCCGCCGGCTCTGTGCCCTCGTCCTACAGCCGCCGCAGCAGCTCGAGCCGCTTCAGCGGCCATCAGCAGCAGAGCGCCTCCCAGCTGGGACGGGCCATGGCACTGGTGTTGGGCGAGACCGATTGTCTGATCAATCTGCGTCGCGACAGCATAGCCAGCACTTCTGCGGCAGCGAGCAGCAGTAGCAGCAGCAGCAGCGGCAGCAGCAGCGGTCCTGGCCACGGCTACGGCTACGGCTACGGTCACGGCCCTGGCCACGACTATGGCCCCGGTCACGGCTACGGCCACGGCCACGGCCACGGCCACGGCTACGGCCACGGCCCCGGCCCCGGCCCCGGAACGAGCGGAGGGACAGCATCGTCGTCAGATGTGAATCTAAAATCGATGGAGCTGCAGCTGCAGTCGCTGTGCCTACCATTCCTGCGGGTGGCGGCCCTGCTGCGTCAGCATTTGTATCGCCATGAGATGCCGGAGATATCGGCGCCGGGTCTGGAGTTTGTGCGTCTGGTCTACTACCTGGAGCTGGTCACCGACTCGATGGACTGGGACTGTTTCAATGCCAGCAAAGGCCTGTGCTTCATACCGGGCACCGAGCACACACTGCCCCAGTTCTGGTGCAAACAGCTGCGGGAGGTACGCCCGCCCTCGGACACCATCCGGGAGCTGGTGCTGATCAACCAGCATTCGCTTTGGCAGCAGCCGCGACTGCTCGAGCTGCCACGCGAGTACGAGCGTCTGTTCACGGTACGCTGCACTGCACTGCCATTCCTTTGCATACGACTCGTGCGACTCATACACGTTTACATATTTTTGTCGTTGCAGTACTACCACGAGCGGCCCTGCCTCAATTGCTACAAAGTTCCAAAGGAAAGCTCCATTTGCCTGCTGTGCGGGACGATTGTGTGCCTCAAGCAGAACTGCTGTGCGGAGAACGATTGCTGTGAGGCAGTACGGGTGAGTTGTTCACAGTTTCTATCGCCCTGCACACTCACTAATTATACGTGTTGCGCCGTTCTCAGCACACGCTGTCCTGTGGCGGCGGCATTGGCATCTTCCTGGTGGTCACCTCCACGTACATCATTGTCATACGCGGTCGTCGCGCTTGCCTGTGGGGATCGCTCTACTTGGATGACTTTGACGAGGAGGATCGCGATCTCAAGTGAGTTGAATGTTGCACGAATGAGCATGAGTAAGCACGAGATTATTCAAATGATTGCTTCCCTGTTTTTAGGCGCGGCAAACCTTTGTATCTGAGCCAGGATCGGTTCAATTTGCTGGAGTCGCAGTGGCTCTCGCATAAGTTTGCTCACACAAAACACACCTGGGTGTTTCATCGCGATCTCTTGTGAAATATGGAAGATTTACTGCGCAGCATACAGGAGCTGGTTGGCCAGATCTAGCGGGAAAAGCCAAGTCAAGTCAAGTTTTCAGTTACCAGTTTCCTGTTTGCTGTCTGCTCCACGCCTAGTCGTCCATCACCAGTCAACAACCCCAAAAACCCCAGAAACCCCAGAAACCCAAGAAACCCAAGAAACCGACCCGACTCAAAGCGATCTGATCTGATCTGAGGCTTCTCCTCAAAATTATCTCTTCTTCCCCCGTCCCCGTAGGTTTAAGTTAGTTCGTTATGTGCCCCCCCCCCCCCCCCCCCCCCCCCCCCCCCAAAGCAGCATATTTCAAAATTCTGGAAGGAGGAGGAGAAGTGTGCACTCAAGACATACTACTATATATATATATTGGATATATCAGACGCATCTACACATATGTATGTACATGGCGACGAGCCCCACATGACACTAATCGGTCGTTATCTGTCGCTATACGCATCTCAACACGTACTGGCACCGCACATAGCAAACCGCACTGTCAGCAAAGGCATCAAATCAATGATATTATCTGTATCAAATAATTATTAATCAATGCAAATGACATATGTTGTAAAATGTAACTGTTTATGGGCTCCAGGTCCAAGTTAATTGATAAGAAAACACACACACACTCGCACACAACATAAACACAAACAAAAACACACAAAACACACACGATTACGATTACGATTACGCCTATATGATCGCATATATGTATGTGCATATGTACCAGTATATATATATCTGCCTGTTACCGATCGCACCCCGCATCTATGTATGTGAATCTCTGGAGCAAGATCTAAGAAATTATTTAATATATTCGAATAATATGCATATATACATATACATATATATATATATATATAGATATATATATAGATAGATATCTGTGTTTCGTGTTCTACCTATGGAAGCCTTTAAGTTTTAAGTCTAGTATCGCGATATCTTTAATCTCTAAGGAAGCAGCAGCAGCAGCAGCAAGAAAAATAGCTAACAAAAATAACAGAAAGGAAACGAAACGAAACTGTCTACTTTGGCCTCATGAGTTTGTGCATGTAAAAAACGAAAAAGAATATGATATTGATATACATATACATATACATATAAATATATATATATATATGAGATGAGATGAGATAGTTAATTTATAGTATGTCTATTCCATACTTAAAGGCGATGATAAATACTAAAGTTAAAGAACATTGAGAAGCAAAACAAAACGAAATGAAATGAAAAGCGAATTGTGAAATGCGTAGAAAATAGAGCTGAAAATGCATATGCATATATGCATATATCTAGGATATATAGAGAGCAGGGAGAGAGGAGGAGAGCAGAGTGTGCAATGGGCAAACAGAGGACAATGGAGAGAGCGAGCGCTGACTAGCTGGGCGACTAGCCAGAGGATTAGGAGAGGTGTTAGGGTGAATTTGTTATTAGTTTTTACCGAATGTGTGTTACATACATATGTAGGCGTGTAGGCGGGTAGGCGGGTAGGCGGGTAGGCGTTTAGGCGTTTAGGCGTGTAGGACTTGGCCTCGTCGTTGGCGAAGCTGCAATTTGCAAATTGATATTGTTTAATAGTTATTATAACGCGCTGCTATGGCAAATTGATATTTTTTAATATACAAACTGTACTATAAATCTATTATTGTAATTAAATATTGTGAAGGGACAGGAGTGCACGGGACAGTGGGCAGGGCAAGATCGCAATCGATCGCATCGATCCGCAAGCTCTCCATCCATTTATTTTTCATCTCGTTAAGCACTGGGCCAAACGAAGCAGCAGCAGCAGCAGCAGCAGCAGCCGCAGCAGCCGAATCTGCTATTCCTATTCCTTAAAGTTATTGGCAAACCAATTGAATCTACTTTGAATATATGTATTTACTTACTTGCTCTGGACTCTGCTGCCTCGTTCCATCGGTGCCAATAATCCAACAGAACTTCGGAGGCAGTCATACCATACCATGCTCTCTCAATCCCCAATACCCACTCAATGGTTGATTCAGTGTTATTCTTTTTTATTGTTCTCTCCACTCCGAAAAATTTGTACTCCCGGGTCTGTTGCGCATTGTAAATACAACTAAGCGAAGGATCATTTTGTAAATGTGACAAGGGGCGGAGCCGGAGTGATGCATAGATGCATATTTGTGTACACACATAATACATATTATATACATATATATGTATACTATATATAATATAAATCACAAAGTTTTTTCTTTTTTTTTTTAGTAGTTACGTAAATCTAGACTTTTCGGTTCGGTTTGGGCCTATAATCTTGGCGGATAACCCGCAGGATTCGATGGCACATAGCACGCAAGCAGCACGCAACTCGAAATATGTATCCATTCTGATTAGCAAAACAAACCGAAAATCATGGAATCAATTCAAACAAAACGCAGAAAATTTAGAAAAAAAATAATAAAAAAAAAGTATAAATGAAGGATATCCGTGTTTCAATGTCTCCAGATGTGTAGAGTTACTGGCGCACTGCACAATGGGTGCAGTTTCCACGGGACGGCTTCTTACGCTTTGACATCTTCTTCAGCAGCTGGATGACGGCTGGGCCAACTTGGGCGCCCTGCGGCTGAGGCTGAGTTGGAGGTGGAGGTGAAGGTGGAGTTGCCGGGTTATCGCGCTTGGCCGCACGGCTGCGCATAATGGCGCGGTATTGTTCGACGGCCGCCTCCACGTTGATACCAGCTGGCACCTTTTTTTTGGTCAACAGATCTAGTGCCAACCGGCGGATCGTCATGGCACCCACTGAGATTTCCTTCTCGTTGCCATACAAGCCGAAGATTAGATCCATTAGCTCTTTCTCGGGGTTGACGCTTCTCGGAGGACGTGAGATCGGTGGATTGGAGACCGAAGGCACCGGCACCGGAACCTTAGCACTGCCGTTGAGCTTCTTCAGCTTGGCCTTCCAGCGCCCGAAGAACAGGGGCGGCGACATCACGGAGCTGTGCTGAACTGGTGCCGTATCGGGCAGCAGGAATCCCTGGAACCAAGAGTATGGCAGTGCGCCGGGCGCAAAGACACAGCCGGCATCGAAGTTCTTTGGCAGATAGCGGGTGGGTATAAACACAGGCTTTCTGCCGATGATTTCCGGCGGAAAGAGCTCCGCGGGCAGCTTGAATTTAGGCCCTGGAGCGTTCATGGTGTCCAGGGATACGTTCGGGACATGTGGCTGAACCACCGTCGAGATCACCGTCATGGCGTATGGCATCATGGCGTCAGTGGCATTGGCCATTACCACTTTCATGTCGGTCAGGTCCGGCACGTAGATGTTGTACTGAGTCGGAACGGGATTGTCGATGTATTTCTTCATCATAGCCATTGTGTTGGGATCGGCCCCCACAAAGCCCATCGCCACTCTGCAGCGCGATAGGCGCTGTTGGGTGTCAGCCGACGACTTGCCCACGGTGGTGGAGAGCGGACATATGAGGTCAGTCGCCAGGCCCTTTAGGATCTCCTTAAGGACGCGACGGCCGACGAACAGTGCCGGTGTCGGTCCCTTGTGCTGCGACGGCAGCATCCCGATGGGGTAAAACTTGCGTGGCAGCACCCCGGGTCCGAAAACACCGCCAGCATCGATGCCCGGCGGCAGTAGCTTCGGCGACAGGAAGATCATCCTGCTGATGGGCGTGTGCACCGGAAAGCGTTCGACCGGCAGCTCGAAGCACAGGCAAGTCTTCTCCTCCTTCAGCAATTTGGCGGCGTCCGGATCGTGCGGATAATGCTTCACGGACAGCTGGATCAGCACCGTACGCTCTGTGCTCTTCGGCACCACCAAGTTCCGCAGATTCGGAACATATCGCAGCTTTGCGTTTGAGAGCGAGTTCATTGAATGCATCAAACTGTGCATGTGCTGGCAGCAGATCAGCGAGTTTCTCTCGTTGGTCGATCCGGGGATTAGGATGTCCAGTTCCGGGTCCAGATCAAGACCTGAACGCGTGTTTTTATTCAGATTATTATTATTTGTGCGTTTTTGCGATATGGGAGAGGGGATTACCTGTTTGCTGCGCGAAAGCCTGAAAGCCGGCCATTTTCTTGCCAAGCCTTACGTTTTTTTTCGACATTTCGGCGATTTCGGCGATTAAAGTTTCACAGAAAGCGCACCGGGGGCAATCAACTAAAAAGATGACGCCGATTCGATCAAAAAAAACTTCGGCTCCCCTTGCACTCGCGTTATTTTGGGAACCGAGAAGAGATGGTTGAATATTTCTCGGATTTTTTGTTCGACTCCGCTCGACACTCGCTCGCCTCGTTTGTCGACTTCAAATGACACAATTAGACTCCGCACTTCCGGGGAAATTTCAAATGTCAGGAAGATCTGGAACTGTCAATTTGATGAAACGTTATGGTATATCGGAATGATAACTATATCGATAACGATAGATTTCCGTGCCGGCAAAATGGGGAAAATGTCGGCGACTTTGGCAACTTTGGCTACTTTGGCAACTTTTGTAAATTCGAGCGGTGTAAATACATACATATCATATGTACATATGTATGTATGTATATATAAACACAATTTTTTTTAGTGTGAATCCCAGCACAATGGGGCCCCTGCAGGAGGCTTGCCAGCGCAACCTCGTCGAGAGGCAGCGGATCCGAAAATGGCTGCAGCATCTGACGGGCAAGCGCTCCGGGAAACTGCTGTGCAATGACAAGAACAGACACTGCCAACCCGACGGCTGGCCCTGTTTGACGTCATTCGGTGTTGCCGATGCAGGTGGGAGGATGGGCGCGCCTGCACCTCAGCGCCAGCACCCACAGCCATCATCCGTCCCGAAACGTGCACGCCTACGAAAGCTCAAGCATAGCACGCTTCGGAACCCAGCAGAGCTGCCGCCCTGGAACTATGTATTTGTCGAGGGCCACCAGTTGCCCATGCACCCTCTGCCGATGACGACGACGCACTGCCATTACCCGAGCGAGCACCTGCAACAGCAACAGCAACAGCCACAGCCATAAACACAGTCAGAGGGACAGCGACAGCGACAGCGACAGAGCCAACAGGCAGCATCACGCAGGAGCGCGAAGGCCGAGCCTCCATCCCCGAATGACTTCGTATATTTCCTGTCGCGCACTTGTCACCCCTTTCAGTGCGCCAAAGTCCAGGCCCAGTCCCAGTCCCAGGCCCAGCCAGAGCTAGAGTCAGAGCCACAGTCCCTCTGTGCGGTGCACGTGTCGAACCACCTTGCTTTGGATGCGCGTTTACGGCGGAGCTGCTGGACGAAATACTCTTGTGAGGTGCATCCCTATCACCTGTTGCGCATTTTCTTTAGACCACAAATAAATTCAGATCGTACTGCATTACCTCTTCTGGGCGCACTCTCTCTCTCTCTATTTTTAACTGTTAGCGGTGCCAGCTCCAGCTCCAGCTCCAGCTCTGAGGCAATATAGCCGGCAACTGAGCTAGGCACAGGCAGAGGAACAGGCAGAGCCACTCAGGCCCCCTATGCGTTTGTTTTTCTTTGAAAGATGAGGCTCTGCCTGCCACATCGGCGGCAACAACGGCGTCGCCGCAATACAAACCCAAATAACAGACGACGACTTGTTGATGGCATTGGCATTGTACTTTTGTTTTATTTATTTGCTTGCATTTCACAAACAGCCTATTATCAAGTAAACGTTTTTATAGAAAAATAATAAGAGACAATAAGTGTGAGTGCGCGGCTCTATCGTGAAAATATCTTGAATTGACAGGGATCCGGAGCCGACTCCGACTCCGACTCGGACTCGGACTCCGGATCGGGACCTGCTTCAGCTTCATACGTGACTTCGCGCATTGGGTAACAATCGGGCTGTTGCCTCAGTTTAAAATATTGCTATATATATATCTATATGTATATACAAAGATTGTGGACCTGTTGTGCCGCCTCCATTGAAATGGCTTGGATTAGGGAGTGGATGGAACGGACGGGAAGGCGTGGGATAGAGTAGGTATAGGACACGGTTATGTTTTATGCGGTTATGCGGAACGGAGAGGAAGGAGGGGAAAGGGGGGAGGTACGTACGATAAGCTAAGCCTAAGTTTTGGTTGCTATAAAACCTAGAGGTTAACGAATTCCTTGTCTAAGCGATTTGTTTTGTTGGTTTGTTTCGTTGGAGATTGATTGGGTGGTTTCCAGCTTGTGAAGGCGATTGCTGATTGCTGATTGGACATGGCCTTGATTAGTTGTCTATAGATAGTTTTTGGTTTCGTTATTCGTGTTGCTTCTGTTCTCTTTGTCCTCCTCCTTTTCCTTTCCCGTATCCTCTGCACTACCCCTAACCTCATCCCTGTCATTGTCTTTAGTCTTTTTCTTGTCCATCTCGTCCTCTTCATCCATGAATATCAGCGAGGTTTGTGTGGCGATGACTGCGTTTGGGGTATAGCCAGTGGCCCCCGCAGTGGTACCCTTCTGACTGAGTTCCCTTTCTCGCTCCAGTTCCTGCTCGCGCGCCAACTCCTGTTTCTGCTCCCGCTTGATTTCCCATTCGTGTCTAGCCTCCTCCTTCGAATGCTTTCGCCGTAGAATCTGTGCTTTGCTCTGTAGTGGCGGTGTGGACTGTGTAGCCTTGTCCATTTTGCGCTCCATTTTCAAATCCATCTCCACGTCCGAGTCCATATCCATTTCAGTCTCAGACAACGACAACGAGTTGCCGCCACGAGGTACCTGATAGCGCCGGACATCCTACATCAGAAGGGGTCCATAGATTTATGTGCATTTTCACAATAGAAAACTTGCTAAGCAGCGACCTACCGTGTTCAGTGTCGTTGGTTCCGATATGTAGCCATCGCAGTCTTCATCCTCGCTGAAGAGATCCGACGGGTTCAAGCCATAGGTCTCCGGCAGCCGGCACACGATCTGCGCCAAATCGATGAATGTGTACTCGTTGAGCGAGGCGTGGTTGCCCCGCTTGGGCGGCTCCTTGCTGAACCACTGATTGAACCTGCCCAACCGACCCGCCTTGGCCATGCCCTCAAAGTAGTTCTTGCCGAACACATAGCCCACGTCGCGGATCTCGTCGAAGCTGCCAAACGCCAGGGTCTTGTACTTGTCGATGGGCGGTCGAATGTATTCGCAGTAATCAGAGTTCTTTACCTCCTGGAAAGACAGAAAGCAGACACATAAATAGAGTGCTTATTAGAGAACCTTTTATGCGAAAGCCCACCTCCAGTTGTCGAACGCAGGAGACGTAGGCGAGCCGCGACTGAATGTCCGGCAGATCGGGCACCTTCACGGGTGCGGTGAACGGATTCCACTTCTTGTAGAGCAGCCACCAGCCGCTTAGGTCGTCCCCGTAGTTGGTCAGATCCGTATCGTCCTGCGATCCCACATCGATGGCGATTATGTGAGCGGCGCCCAGATTGTGCATCACATCAGCTACAGTGGCGGCCAATAGAAATAATTCGAGTGCGTTGTGTGTGTGTGTGTCCGTGTTTGCGTGTGTATGTGGAATGGAAACGTATTGGTTAGTCGTTATAATGATCCGCTAACGGTACATGGTAGCCATTGGCATTCCAGCATCTTGAGCGGTGGGACTCTCAGTCACTCCCCCAAGATGCTCGGACTGGCAGGCGACTCATCTACAAGATCTCAATCAATGGAGCGGGCGGGCGCAAGAAAGGCACTGTCGCGGCGCAGAGTGTTGGACAGCATGTACATAAGTATATGGATGGATATGCTGGTTTACCTGGCACATTATTCGTGTAGCAGCCATCGAGTAGAAGATGGCCGTCGCGGTAATCACAGAAGGGCGGAAAGACACCAGCGATGGACATACTGGCGCGGCAATAGCGCCACAGGTGACCTGCCGCAGCCGGACAATGAATGAACGGGCGGGCACACCAGACACACCAGACACACACACACACACACAGACACAATACAGTGGTAGGCGGGATTGCGTGGATGTTGTGTGGTGGACACGGACGTAGGTGGTGACATTTGTGTGAATTTTCGGTGTGTGTAGGTGTTAAAAGAGAGAGAGAGAAATAGATAGACAGGATTTAATTGCCGTTGTTGGAGAGTTTTTCACAAAATTCACTCTTTGTGCTAACTACAAATGAAATTTCATACACAAAAATGCACATATACCCAAAAAGTCGCCAAGAATTAATTGAAACTAATATTGCTTAGGCATAGGATAGGCATACCACAAATCAAAATTAAATTTTGTACATAATCAACGGAAAAAGGAGAAAGGAGAAGGGAGAAGGAACATAGAAAATAGAAAGAACTTTTGTGCGAACTCAGCTCTGCATCTGTGTAGGTGTGTTTGTGTTTATCGCATGTTGTGTTATGAGAGTGACAGGGACAGACAGTGGTGGTGCGCATTCGCCGTTATACTAAGCGGACCGCGCCACCATCCACAGTCGCAGGCGATGGGACAATCAAAAACAGGGCTGCCAGTACAACTAATTCTGTTGATAAAACGCCAAAAACAATGCAACAAACATAAGAAAAAAAATTAAACCTACTAGAACAACTAGAACAGCATCAGCTAGGCTAGGAACATGTATCATACATACATACATATGTACATATATCAGAGATCGGATTGCGGAAAGAAGGTGGTTGCTGCTGTGGGTGGGACAGGGACAGGGACAGGGACATGGACAAGGACAAAGCTTTGGTAGGGAAGAAGGGAAGAAGAGTACATATGTATATCCAACACTCTGCGCACGCTCTAAATTGAGATTGAGATTTAATAAATATATTAACGATTCGTTTTGTATTTACAATTATTTAGTTTAGGTTTTTTGTTGGCTTAAGAGATAATTGCATACTAATTGCTATTTACCTGGCAAGTTATTTACATAGCCGCCATCCAGTAGAAGGTGCCCATCTTTTGGGTCGCAGAGGGGCGGCATGTAGCCGCTAAGCGACATGGAGGAGCGTACATAGCGCCACAGAGATCCTGCGTTTGATTGATCGATTGGTTGGTTGGAGGTGGCAAGGCAGTATTTTTGGTTGTTCGTTGTTGATTAACGGCATGCCAGCAATGAAATTTAGTATGAGTTGAGTGTGTGTCGAGTGTGTGTTTGAGTGTGTGGAAAGAGAACAAAAATAGAGAGAGAGAGAGAGAGAGAGATAGATAGAGAAACTGCATTGAGCGATCGTTTTGCTTTTTGTTTTAGTCTTGAGATGTGTTTGGATGGCAATGAAAAGATGGAACGCTATTTTAGAGCGGAAGTGGAGCGTGGAACTGACAGGAAGGAGCAGCAGACGCAGACTAGCAATAGAAGCTACAAATGTTCGTCGAACTTAGCTTTAGCTACTGTCACCCTAGCACACAAAATGGCGAACAACAAAGTATCAGCAAGTAGTAACAGTAACAGCAACAGCAACAGCAACAACAACAACAACAACAACGACAACAACTTAAAAACAATGATGAAATCGATTGCATCGGCTGAATGCATCCCTGTGATGTATGTATGCATGTACCCCCCTCTACACGACGCAGAATGGCAAACAGGTGGCAACTGGTGGATGGAGCGGAAAGCCTCTTATTTGCGGGGGCCATTAATGAGTACGTGTGTGTGTTTGTGTGTGTGTGTGTGTGGGTGTGGGTGTAGAGAGTAGAGTGTAGAGTGTAGAGTGTGTGCTTTTGGCACTCTCAGTTCTACGCAAAGGTATACGAACATACGGTACATGATGAAACTTTGCTGCTGAGAGATACACCACCTACTGGCTACTGGAGCCACCTTACCTTATGTTCGTATGCCCTGGCTCAAAAGCTAAACTACAAAGGATATAGGGAGGGGAAACTATAACAGATACGGATACGGATAGATCGCCAGAACACAAAATGCATAAGCAAAATTAATACTGAAAAAAACATGCATTTAATAGCAGTTCAAGGAGAAGAAGGAGAAGTACAAGTAGGACTACCAACAAAGAGGGAGAGGATAGATAGAGAACGAGGGCAGAGAGACAGAGTGCATGCACTGTCCCTCCCCGTTCCTACCCTGCCGCACTCACCGTTGGTGTGGATGCGATGGCAGCTGGCGGTGATATCCGTCGTCAGGGTGAAGTATGGTATCCACAGATCCTCGATATTCACATCCCCGAAGGTTTCATGTATGGTCTTGTTGAACTCCCGTCCAGAGAACATCGATGTGATGGGATAGGTTAGATCCAAGAGTTGTAGGAACCATTTGGTCATTTTCTGCAATATTTAATGCGAAGTCTCTACATAGATTCAGTCCTGTGAGGGGAACACCAATGTACATACCTTCGACCACTCGCGCGCCTTCTGGGTGACCGTGGTAATGTTCCGCTCCGAGCACCAGAGGGCCCCCATCAACGCACCAATGCTGACGCCCCCGACCATGTCGATGGGTATGCCCGCCTCCTGGATGGCCTTAAGCATACCAATATGGGCCGCGCCACGTGCCCCACCACCGCCCAACACCAGACCAATCGAGTTGCCCGTCAGCCAGCGGGCCAGGCGCGAGAAATCGGAATGCATATTCGGCTCGGATAGCAGCACACGACTGTAGAGATCATTCTGGAAGCAGCAGAGGTAGCACGGGTCAGACAATACGTGACACCATAGCTATATGGTGCTTCCACTTCCACTTCCACTTACAATGCGGTATTGGCTTTTGCGCGTGAAGATGCGCTTCACACACAGCACATGGTGGTGCTTGGTCACCCAAGGACGAGCGTTCAGCCAGCTGAGCGTGTTGGCCGGCTTTGAGGACGCCGTCTCCGGGTAGAGTAGGACCAGTTCCTTCTGGGTGCGCAATGCCAGACGATCGATCTCGCGCTCAAACTTCCCCACCAAATGCGAGTGGTCGCCCAGGCCCACAATGAGGACGACGTCCGCCTGACGCATACAACGCTGGGTCCAGGGACTCAGCGCATTGTCGCACTGATAGAGGGTTATAATGTTGCGGTCCTCCTGCTGGGCCAGCCACGAGGTCAGCCTGTACTCGTTCGATGCGTCGAATATGTTCATTCCCAGCTGTTTGCGCGCCAAGTCCGAGGTCAGGCGCAGGACAGGACCTGACCGACGAGAGTAGAAGAGAAAAGAGAGAGATTATGGAAGTGAAAACTTTCGAATGTTCTAGGTTGCAGATCTTCCTCCCACTTGGATTTTGCAATATACACTCCGAAATATTTTTTAACAATTCAAAAACGGATATCCACAAAAAAAAAACGAATTGCAATGACAATTGCACGACCTCTTGCAGGATTTTTGATTGTTGTCGATACAGTGGAAGATATACATCTTGTATAGTTTCTTGAAATTTTTTCTATTATTTTATAGAGTTTAAAATAAGCTATTAATCATTAAAATTGTCCAAATGCTGTCAAAGATCCGCCCCATCCCCCTTTATGTTCTTAATTCTTCTGTTATTACGATATTGCTACATATATAATTCGAAATTTGAATTTTTGAAAACGATTTTGGGGGATATTGCAAATTCTAAGTACGAGGCCTACAACCTAGAAAAAGGGCCGGGGAGAAGTGAAACATGTTTACCCACCGATGGCACACAGCGAGTGGTAGAGCTCGTAGGTGAAGGGCGTCAGGGGCACATCGTCTGTGATGGGCACCAGGGCCACCGTGGAGTATTTGTGCGTGACGGGATTGGCCTCGACGGGTGCCCCGGGCGCTCCAGTGGTCGTGCGCGTCTGCATCGAGCCGAGAAAGCGATGGCTAAGGAAACTGATCAGCTTGGTCACCACAATCGGGTAGCGCAGCTTGATGGCATTGAAGAGACCCTCCGGGAGCTTGGCCAACTCCGAGTCGCGCACCGCCATCACTGTGGTTGTGCGTGACGTCTCCGTGATCATCTCAACGATGCCCACGAGATCGCCCTTGCCGTACTCGCCAACGATCTCCTTCTTGCCACCGGGATGTGTGATCACAGAGCGCATGCGGCCGCTGAGCACGATATAGGTGCTGTCGCTGCTCTCGTCCTGCCGGTACAGGGCCCTGCCGGACTCCAGGAAGATCCAGTCCAGGGCATAGTCGCATTGGCGTACCAGCGGCGACAGACGCCGCACTACCCCATTGCCAAGGTCCAGCACAATGCGCGGACGCTGGCGCATGATCCTGCAAGAAGTTGGATGTGAACAAGGCGGAAAGAGGAGAGAAAGTCGAGGATAATGTTACTGGTATATAGCTGCACGCCTGATGAATGCCACGCGACTGTGATTCCGCGAGCGAATGGTGTACGCGCTGGCCTCCCCCGTAAGCATGGCCAGGCCACCGACTATCTCTCCGGGGTGTACATAGTGGATGAGCAAGTCGGTTTTATCCTGCTTGATGCGCGTAGCATCCGCATTGCCCTGGTACACGGCCAGTGTACCGGTCATCACAAACCACACGCACACATCGTCCGCATTGCCCTCGGTGATGAGGGTCACATTCGGCTCCATTTCGCGCACCTCCACGAACGGATCAATGATGTGGGCATCCTGTTCGGGCAGACCCAGCTCCTTGCGTAGACTGTCCACCGCCGAAGACTTGACCAGTCGCATGTCTATCGACGGCACTGGCCCGACCTCGGGCTGCTCCTGTTGCGTTATGGAGCCGCGACGAGTGGACAGATTACCGTCGGATTCGCGCTGGTGGTACAACGGTGGATAGCTATTGAGCCTAGCGCCGCCATTCACCTCGCCGAATAGTGTGTTCACACTGTCCCCGCTCAGCTCTAGGTTCGGAATGCCAGGATTCGGATCGGACAGCGTGTGCTGCTCGTCCTGTGAGTAACGCGACAGGGAGCTGGCTGGCCTTGGTACCGCCGTGTGTGTTGAACCGGCTGTACCGCTGGCTGCCGCTGCCGTTGCCGTAGCCGATGCTGAGCCAGTGGCCTGTCGCGTTGTCTGCGAGCAATAGACGGAAGGCCCGGCCCCCTGACTGCTGCCCTTGAAACGCATGTGATTCTGAACGAGCTCTGCATTGAGGCCGAGGTAGTTGCGCAGTGCCGTAAACAGAACGCGCTGCAGTCGTATCATTATCACCTGAATAACACGGATCATCACATCCGGACTGTCCTTGAACACCTCCTGGAAGGCCTGCAAAAGGGGAGGGATACGAGGGATGTAGTATCGTGGGGCATGGTACGAGTATTAGGGCATGTGGTTGCTGTCCTACCGCCATGGGCAGTCGAATGACCACCGATTTTTCTATGGCCTTGGCCGTCACCGTCTTGTAGTAGCTGGGATTGCCGGACAGCACATCGATGAAGCTGAGCAGCGAGGTCACCGACTCGCCCTTGCGCACCGTCTTCAGGGAGAGCGTGCTGCCGTCCGCATTCGAGATGTAGACATTGATCATGCCCGATTGCACGATGTAGACACTGTCGTCCGGGTCGGTGATCTTGAACAGATAGTCGCCGCCCATCAGCTCCAGCAGCTGGGTGTGCTTGCACAACCGCAGGAAGATGGGCTTCTCGAAGTGCCCAAAGATTCGGATGCTCTGCAGCATGTAGAGGGCGTCGGGGGGCACTCGATCGCTGCCCTCCATGGTCTCCTCCAGGTACTCCGCCGGCGGCTCAACGGTGCGCACCTCCAGCGGCATGTTTTCGCGACGCAGCTGAAGGATGCGGCGGGCGAACCGAATCACCGCCCGCCGCTTGTAGCCCTTGCCGCTGCTGTACATCTGCCCGCTGACGTTCTTCATCTTGCGCAGCATGCGTCTACCGTAGAAGAGCATCTTGTCGCGCTTGCGAAAGCGCGGGCCGCGCAGATCCCCGCCCGAGGCCATGGTCACCGCGCTCAGCGAGCGGGCGATCTCGTGGCGCAGCCGTAGTCGTGCCAGGCGCTTGAAGTACACGAACCAGCCGATGAACAGCATGCTGAGCACGCCAAGGGCGCAGTACAGGTACATCTGCAAGGAAAAGAAGAGACTGCAATCAAAAGGGGCATGGAATCCATCAGCATAATATTCTTCGTGTGGAGTAGGACTGAATGACTGGTTGCTGTTTAATCGGCACTGGGAATACATATATAGATGGCAGATGTGTTTACCCATTCGAGATCCGAAAACCGAATACTGCGAAAATCCATTTCTATTAATTTCACTCCAAAGCAATATTTCTTCCTTATTTACTTTGCACTGTCGTGGCTCTCTGTTTTTTTTTTTTTCGATTCTCGATGTAGTAGAGGAGAATATACGTTTCGGTTTCGTAAACTTCCCCGATTTTTCAAAGAAATCCGCGTCGAGTCTATGAACTAGTTCCGAGTCAGATTTATACGATTTTGCGATATTTAGGTGCCCAAGGGGTCTATAAATATACGGTGATGCATTCCCAGAGTGCAATCTCCAACTTTGTTTCACTAGCCGCTTGGCAATAGGCAATAAGAGGGCACAACAGAGACGGAGAGAGAGAGAGAGAGAGAGAGAGGGAGCGTTGCCTTTTCCAAGCTCTTATTTTTCTTGCTCTTTTCATTCGTGTGCCGCCGCAGTGGTGGTTGATGTCTGTCTGTTGTCTGTTGTTGTTGTTCTTGTCGCTTTTGACATTGAACGTCGCCGAGCGTCGCTGCCTGCCGACACTTGTTTTGGTTGCGCTTTGCTTTGCACTCTTTTTTTTACTGTCTACCGTTTCCGCATTTTTTACTTTTTACGCCTATGCATTCGATACGAACTAGTATGTGAATTATTAATATGATATACCAGGAGCATGTCTGATTAAACGGTAATGGGAGCCGCAACTGCTGGCAGCTGTTGTTTGTTTGTTTCTTTGGCTTAAAGCTTATTCCGCTAACAGGTTTCTTATCGACTCAAATTGGAATAAACAAAAATTTGATATTGGCTGATTGCAAGGAATGGTGAGGAACTGGATTGGAAATCTGATCGGATTACTGAATGCTGAAATTGAAGTCGAATCGAGTGTATCGCGTTGGACATGGCAGATGGGAATGGGTGAATCGCATTTCCGAAATTTCACTGGAATCGGATTGGACTGCTCGAATGGGATAAGATTGCATTTGGTTCAAACTGGATTGCCGGCACTCAAACGGAATAATGAACGGATTGTATCGCATGCAGATATAATGGGGCAGGCTGCATTGCCGAAATTGAATGGAGAGTCGCATGCATTGGGTGGGATCGCATTGGATTAGATTGATTGGGTGGCCTGGCAACCAGAGCCACCGCACCGCTCGCTGACTGTGCCCCTTCACCTAGCAGCGCCCCATAGCTAGCTTTAGAGTCACGAGGCGGCTAAATTGATTCGGCCCCAAGGGGTTAATTAAATTATTGAAAACTGATTTGGCTGATGCCGCGCGCCGCGCCCCCGGCCCAGCACACGTGCTTCTGATTAGGAAATACACACATTCGCACGCGCACCCGCACCCGCACCAGAACCAGAACCAGCACCACCATTGAGACGTAATCAGCGGAGCGTCGTCGTCTTCGGGGTCAGATTGGTATTATCATGATCATTGCGGTTTCTGGCTATCATTTCCAGTGGTGGATTGGGCTTTATGTAAGTCGAGGCGGCTAAAAACCTTATTCCACTGCGGAAGTGCCTTGGACAGGCGACAGATAAAAAGAGATGGAAATAAAAGCAACAGGAAGGAACAGTAGCGAGATCAAAATGCGCCCACACACGCTCACAGTTATTTCAGAGAGAGCTCTCTCGCTCTCCATTTCTATCGCTCTCTTGCCATCTTTGTGTACGCTTATCATAAGCGCAGACACGAACCAGCTGCAGCTGCTTACTTATGCGTGCGCGATCGGATCGCCCTCCTGGGCAAACCCCCTCCGCACCAATCCTTATCCATATGTATATCTGCCTCGCGCACACAAACTCATTTGGAGTCGGGGCCAAACAAAGAAGAGAGATACTGAGAGAGAGACCGAGCACTTACTTACCGTCATTGTTATTTGATTGGAGATGTAGTAGCACCAGGCATCCGCTAAGAATGTGCTGTAGTACATGTTTGAACCACTCACACGCAACAGTTCCAGGACATCCATTTATGTCGGTGTCAAAATGGCTGAGTGTGAGTGTGAGTGTGTGTGTGCGTCCTGGCCAGCCCAGTCCTTGGATTGGTTCTGGCCGCGGCCTCGCACGCAACTATTCGATTTTTGTTGCTGTTGTCTGTTTAGTCGTTCCACTTGTTCATAGTATAACCGTATTCTTGATTTTCTATTGTGAACGCGGAAATATCAATGCCCCAAAAACACCCCTGGCACACAAACAACAGTTAGTGGTCAGGCGCGGGGGAGGCTGCTTTGGGGGGTGAACGGAACAAATCTCAGCGTTTTGTTGTTGTTGCTGCTGCTCTCTTCCCACTTCCACGACGACGACAAAGACAGCCACGGCCACCCCCCTCCCTATTTGGATGACTTTTTATTGTTTGTGCATTAATTGTAATGCACGCGCCTCTCGCTTTTTTTACGCACCACACCACGCACACTTATACACTGTGCCACCCACACCAATAAGAAATTCCGTTTTGTTACGAGAATCCGAAATCATACGGTGAAATTCGTTGTTTCTGTTTGCACTTGGACTTTCGCGTAATGAATTCTTAGGAAAACGCACGTCCATAGAACTCGCTATGCCAGACTATGGGTGGGAGGCAGTCTTTTTAATTTACTGAGTTTAACTAGATGAGAATTTTTACCATGTACTGTACTACTTAGTAGTTTTAACTAAAAATTCAATTTGCACTTATTATATTTTTACATGGCAAATGGCAACTACACAGAAACTAAACATCAAATTTACTACATTTTCAACAAATTTTCTGAGGAAACAGAAGGTATGGACAACAGGCAAAACGGTCGGGAAATTGTAACGCATGCAAGGCAAACCACCCCTTTTGCTTAATGTACCTTGAGGCAAAGAGCCGTTTTTGTGTAAAGGTATATTGTCTCACACGCAAGGTGAAGTTCGTATGAGCCTTGCCATTCGCCGCCGCTGTTTTTGACTGTTGCCCATACCCTATTCTATAGGCCATTCAAACTTACGACTCATTTTTTCGTTGCAGGAAAGAGCAAGAGAGGTGTCAAGTCATCAGGGCACTATCGATAGACTCGATGTTTTGGTGCTAGTCGCTATTTATAGTAGTTTATAACTAAAAAAGCCAAATGCTGCACTCTAACAATTGTTTTATTGGATCTAATAGGGCTGTTGAACATATAAATTGATGTATCGAAAAATCGATTCATATATTTTGTGAATAATACGTTTTTCGGTGATATATTTTTGGACTGCCGAAAATGTAAATATGCATTTTATTGTGGCATATAATTATCAAGGGAAATCCCTTTCAGAGTTCAGGAAAGATCGACATTTCTGTTCGTTAGATTAGATATTTTATTCTATTTATCGATGAACAGGGTACATCAATATTTTTGTGCGATAAGGGACTCGAGTTTGGCGGTAAAATACTTTTATTTTGAAAATAACAATAATATAGCCGACATCAAATTTTATTATTGTTGTTTTGAAATTAATATACGTTTCTTGCATAAATTCTTAAAAGAGTTTAGAGTTTTATGAGCATGGAACACTCAATGAAGTTCCGCATGCATGTCTTATGCTTGCATCGTCCTCCTCCTAAAATATTCACCGGATAGAATAGAATTTTCACCGGAACTTTATTGAGTTTTCCATGATCATAAAACTCAATCATACCTTATCTTCTATATTTATGTTAAAATTCTGTTCCATGTTTTTTTGTGTTGCCTAATTCTGATTGAATTTGTTGTAAAGTCGTAGTAAGTCAAGGTTCATTACTTAAGGGTATCCTTATTTGGGGCAGCCCTTAAATATATTTTCAAATTTGAATATTCTCTGACAAACCTCAATTTTATTATAGTTTGTCACATACAACACTGCTTCGTATCGATAGCGCCCTAGGGAAAGTTCTTTCGATATTCTTTGGCATCGGCTGTTAGGTATTTGAATGTCTCATGCACATGCACTGTAATAACAGTCTGGTGACACAACGCTCGCTCACAGTGGGCGCCATCTGTTATTATTTTGAAAATCGCCAGCGCGCAGAATGGTATGCCGGCGAACATTAATCTGTGGCGCGTAATTAACTTTGCTTAAAATTTCACAGAGCCAAGGAGCCGTGAAGAGTAGCTGAAAAAAGGCAAGCCGGCGGTAATATTCAGTGATTAACAACTGTAAAATTACAATGCAGCTTCCCCCACTATCCGCCCGATAGAAAACATAGACGAAGACGAATTTGCGCGCCTTATAAATATTTATGTGTGTTGATTTAAGGATTTGGTACACCTCCCTTCCCAATCGCAGTGACGGTGAAATCCGAGACTATGGACCACCAGACCATTCCGCTCAGATGGTTGAGGGGTTGAGGTCCGAAAATAACGTGCAACATCCAATAAAAAGCAGCAGCGACGCTAATGCCAAGTGCATCCAAGAGTTATCAGAGCATGCAGGACCAGAGGCATGCCTCGCCTCAGTCGTTGCATTAGCTGTAAACCAAGCTGCGTGGCGACAAAGACGCGTCGTTTGGGTGGCCAGCCAGCTATCCGGCCACCCCCTTCTAAGTCCCGATACGGCCGGCAATTAAATATAAAATATAAAAGCAATGCACTTAAGTTATGCACATTTCCTTTGTCTATGCACCGTTACGACTTCAAATCTCGCGCGAAAGTTAACAGTCGCTTTGCACTGTTCCTTAACAGTGTTATGTTAAGGTTCAAGCTGCTCTCTTTCTGTTCTGTTTCGTTCCTCTCTCTCGACCCTGGGATGCGCATTGCTGGGGCTATTGAAATCTGCCAGATTTACAATTCTGCACTGCTCGAACTGCAAGCTTGTCACATTCGGTTTTTATTGAGGTTCATGTCGAGTTTAGTGGAATTATACATGTGATACAAGTTGCAATATGATACTTTGCAAATCAAGCAAACGAAATATATAGCATTTCATACATTAATTGGCTATTTCCAACCCATTGAGTTTTTAAAAAAGAGAGCGTAATCTGGCGGGAAACCGCAGCACTGCCAGCACTGGTGGGCGACTACAAATAGCGTGGACTGGCTCGCAACGGGTTTCATTCCAAGTTCAGTGCAAGTCGTGAGCGGTTCTTTTCCAATACGGAGCTTCCATTGTGTTGCGCGCATGCGTCTCTCTCTCTCAGCCAATTTGAAAACGTGAAAAATCCTTCTGCCATACCACCAACATCACTACACATAAACACACACACGCACACAAACGCGCAGACACTTCCATACGCAGCATCGACAATTCTGTCACTGCGAAGAAAAAGCAAATTAATAAATAATCGCTGCCTGTGATTTGTTTACGTTTTTTTTCTTGATTTTTTGTATCGTGCGAGTGTGAATTCACGAATCCGTGCAGACAACTGACTGGAAGTGAATATTAAGAAGAAGGGTGTGGACAGACAGACAAAAACGCAGGAACGCACGAAAAGACGCACACACACACTGGCAAGCGGACCGGCAAAAAGCAGCCAAAAAAGAGAAACGACAAAGAGAGTGCAAAAAATAGAAAAGGTCGCGCGACGCCGGTTCTTTCTCCTGAGGATAATCGAATCAAGCGAATCGGTAACAAGTCGGTAATTAAGACGGAATCAAAGTCATCAGATCATCAGCCAGGAGGAGACCAGCCAGGAGCCACAAAGAAAGTAAGTGGAATTCCTTTCCAGCAGCGGGCCATGCCCAAAGATGGCCAAAACTACTCTCTCGCTCTCTCAGTCGTGTCTCCCCACCTCACCCCCCCAACACACCGCTCCACCCTGTCGACATCTTGTGTAAATTAGACAGAGGCTTCGCCGCCGAGACTGCTCCATTTCCAGGTGTAAGCAGTAAGCAGTAAGCAGTGTGTCTTGGACTGCTTTGCCCTGATCTGATCTGCTCTGCTCTGCGCCTCTTGCAAGTCATAAAATCTATGGCAGTTGTCGGTTTGCTTCTCTGCGCCTCTTTTTGCGCCTGCTTCGCTTTACGGTTTACAAACTCCCTCCCTCTGCTCTCCGCTTGTACGCTTTAGTGGCTCCCCCAGAGGCAAGCTCCACCTTGCTTCGCTTCGAATGCGGATGGTGCTAGTGCTGCCGCTGCCGCTGCTGCTGCTGTGGCATTGTCTTGTGGCGGCTTTGCCACTGCCTCCTCACTGTTGCTGATTTTTCCAACCGGCTTTTGGCTGGCTAATTGCCTTGACATTGGCATTCAATGCCTTTTGGCTCCCTCTCTATCTCTATCTCTTTCTGTCTCTTTCTCCCCAAGCTCTCCTTGCGCGCTCTCTGGGCCCTCTTTCGCTCTCTCGACTAGTTTCAATCATTCAAGTTTCAACTATAAACAGACATAAACACGCAGTCACCTTGCCACTAGCCCGCTTCTGGCCCGCGACCCACGGTTGTCTTAATCTATGTCTGCTCCTCCGTCTCTTCTCTTCTCGCTGTCTCTCTCTCCCTCTCTCTTTAACTGTTATTTTCTTCTTAAGTTTCTTTCTTTCGAAGGGGCTGTTGTTGTTGCTGTTGCTCTTGTTTATGTTTTCTCCTGTTTTCCTTTCTTTGTTCTACGCACACGAAATTCGGCCCTGTGTGTGTGTGTATGTATCCGCTATTCCTGTCAATCGGTCCCTGGATGCGCGCAGGGCGTGTGCTTTATTAGACAGAACAGAGCGAGTCGTCCCCCGACTGCGACTGCGACAGCGACAGCGACGCCAACGCCGTCGCCGTCGCCGACGCCCCGGCATTTTACCGCTGCCTCTGCACAGTGGGCCAAATCGAAAGAATTGCAATCCGAAAATGTCATTCAAGTCGAGAGACACCGCACAGGGGGAAACGAGACTCTGAGCCGCGTAAATGCTGAGTAGAAAGAACAAATTTGGTTTGATGGTGCCGCCTGCTCCCCCCAAAAAAGCAGTGTTTTATTTTTGCTGATAAGAATCCGCTTTTGACTATGGGTATTGGGTATTGTTTACCCAAACAACAATCACTCTAGAGGTAGCAAATTAGGGGAAATATGAGTAGATGATGCAGCATTATACGAAATTTGCCAATGGGAAAATTCAATTAAATCTGTCTGAAAATACACACGCACACACAGGAGTACATACATATGTACATATGTATGTCTGTCATCTCTCCTCCGCCTTCGAGCCGGTGTGTGGCAGGCCTGGCCTGGCCTGGTGTTTTCCTTTTGTTTTGTGTGCGTTTGGAGTTTCTGCTTCATTGCCCATTCTTCTGTCCTGCCCTGCCCTGCCCTGCCCTACCACACCCCATCGAATGGGTAAATCAATAATTTTCAATGAGGATTTTGCATTTTACGCCGGACACAGGCGGCGGCATCAATTAGTATGCCAGGAGCGGAATGCATATTAAAAGAGGGAGAGATACGAATACATACTATATATACACACACACACACACACACATATGTATATATATATGTATATGCAATATGCAGCCATATATAGAAACTGAGTCACGTCTCTTTATCTACCTCTTTCCGTGTTTGTCTCTGTCTCTGTCTCGGTTCTTTTTATTTTGGGTCTCGGTGATTCGTCTTATGTGGCAGGGGGTGGGGTGGGGTGGTGTTGGGGTCTGGGGCAATCGAATGCTTCCGTTGAGCATCGCCGGAAATCAGGTACACTGTCAAATGAAACCCCCCGCCCCCGTAGCCGTCCCTGTCCGTCCACCTCCGCCTCCACGCACCCTCCACACTCCACCCTCCACCATCTCCATCTCGTCACCACCTTCGCTCGCTTCCATGCAACCCGCCCTCCATCCCAAACTATGCGCAAATTTCGCTGCTGCCTGCTGCCTGCTGCTGAAGCCATTGTTTGCTGTGACGGCGTCTGCTCAAGACAAGTACACTGAGAGAAAAGTAAGACGGTTCTAAAAATGGGGAAATAAGCAAAGTGGAAACCGTGATCTGTGCATTCAATATTTTAAGGATTATAAATTGGATTTCATTTAATTTTTAAGTGTGGCGAAAGACACCCTCAAATGTCTCCGAGGGAGATTCGAGTCTTTCGATTTCTATGTACGTTTGTGTACATATATGTATTTCGCTCAAATCGAGACAGCACTTTCTTTGGTTGTCATTTTTCGGAAAGTGCAGTGCTGTCGGATACGGCATCATATGGTGGCACTACACCCCCGTCTTCATCCGGCCCTTCCCCTACGTCTGCCCACATATGTATGTGCGCGTATATGTATATCCATGTACATATATAGTATCTGTCATCAGTTGCATCTGCCGCTGCTGGCTCCTGTCCTTGCACGGCGTTCCCCCTCCCCATGTGGGGAGTGGGGGGAGTGATATATGGAATGTACGTACAATATATGGAATGCCGTTTATCAAGGCAAACTATTTATATCCCGCCTATGAAAATGTATTCCTTTCAGATTTTGTATTTATATTTATCCAACAAAGCAGTGCACATTTCTATGATGCACACACATTTCTTTGTTCGATTGCAAGTGTTGTCCTATCGCTCTTTTCTCCTCGAGTTTCTCCTCCTCCCCCCCCATCTGTGGCTGAGTCACGGGCGCCCAGACGTTGCTCCTTTTTCTTGTTGACTGAGTTTCGCTTTCAACGTCCTGTCCTGCCCTGCCCTGTCCTGCCCTGCCCAGCCCTGGCCTCACTTGCTGCTTCATGATTCATGCCTGCTGCTTCTGCTGCTGCTGTTGCTGTTGCTGCGTTTCCTGGCAACCAAAACACTTATGGCTCTTCGACTCCACGACTTCTTTGCCGCTTCTCCACTTCTCCACTTGACATTATCAATGCAAAAGAGTTGCGGATACGGGACGGGGGTACAGATTGTAGGGGCGCCTCCTTTGTCGATTTCGAAATGCAAACAATTGATATGCTCTCATCTGGGGATTGGGGCATCTGGGACTGCAACTGAAGCTGTGATTGGGCCTCGCTGATGGGTTCAATGCTCTTTCAGAGCATATCATCGTCACTGTTTCCGTTCGACCACCGATAAAAATGCCGCCGCCAACCCATAAAGTATATGGAAATAAACTGAAACTGAAATTATCACAAACAAAATGTTGAAGAAGCAGCAGGAAAACTCTTTTTCCGAAGATATCGCGGGGCGCGCTTTAAGTGGCCTTTGTCGTTGGAGGAGGAGGCGGAGGCGGAGATCAGTGGAAGGAGGTGCAGGCGGCGCATGCCACACTCGCACACACACACACACACACACAAGTGGTGGTTTCGGTTGATAAACTTGTTGCAGGCACAGGCACAGGCAGAGCAGCCAAACCGCAACCAGATGCCAAAGATGCTTTTGGGTGAAGTGAGACTCCTCGAGACAGGAGTGCACCTCCACCTCCAACTCCACCTCCACCTCCACTGGTATTCAACTGGTCCAGCTGGTTGTCAAGTGAGACATAAACGCCATAAAATACAGGCCTGGGCCGGTCATCGTCTTGGGCGCCGCCGCTACCGTCAACTTTTCGCCGTACCCTCCCAGCCTACACACTACATTCCGCCGGAGAGTAACCCCCAACATTCAGTGAGAAAATGAGAGAAATGGGGATCGAAATCGAAACCTCGAGCACACGACTGGAATGGGGAGAACTCTTCTCTCCTTCTTCTGTTCTTCAGTGCCTTCTGCACTCTCAGAAAAATGGGCACGACACTCGTGAACAGAAAACAGCCCCATATTTAAATTAAATACTCGGTTCTTGAATTCAAACAGCGGGAATATATTAAATATTTATCCATATTTATTCGAAATAAAATTCATATAAAATATATTAAGTTTGTTGGAAATATGCAATATATGTATATATGAATACATTTCAAATATTTTTTTCCAGTCTCGAATCATTCTTCTGGCAAATGCACATTTTTAGATTTAAGTGAAAAATTTCTGTGTTTTTGTCTGTAGAAAATGAGCTCCAATTTTCCCAATACTGAATCGATTCGATGGCTCTGCTGCTCTTCCTTCCTCTTGTTCTCTCCATTCCTCGATGGAACGAATTTCTTGAGAATGGTTATTTTGTGCAATTCCCCTAGAATATGGCAAGGGGTACAGGGGCAGAGGAACCAGAGCTCAGTCCATGTTTGATCTCTGAGATGTCTGACTGTCTGTTGTTCTCTGAATGAAATTGAATGTCGAATGATTTACGGGGAGCCTCTCGTACTGTTATTCTGAACTCATTTCGAATTCGAACTCGAATTTGGCTCATATCGAATCCATTCAATCTGGAAGGAGTGGCTGGGAAGCCTTCTCCTAGGTCTTTCGTGTTTCCAGAGCGCGCCCGCCTGTGGGCATTTTTCAGAAATCTATGCGGCGGCGCTGCTGTGCAATTTGCTTTGACTTCGATGCGGAGTCCACTCCACTCACAATATTTATGCGCATTGTTATTATGTATTGAAAATGCGAACAAATTATTAATGTGCATGCCATTCGAGGCGGGGTGGGGGGCAGAGGGGATGTACACGAGTCTCCTCGACCGTGTGGCTGGTTACCATTTTCCCCCCATTTGACTTTCCCGCGCTATCTGCCGCTGCCGCTGCCGCTTGCTGTCGGCGTCCATATAATTGGCGCATAAATCATTTTACCAGCTTTGGCCAAGAGCAGCGGTAATTTCAGTGTTGCCACAACAACAGCGAGCGATCGAAGACCGTTAACTGTTTTTTCAGTGCTTGGGATACATTTGTGTCTACC